AAAAAAAATTTTTTTTTGATGACGTCACTTAAAATTATTTAAAATTAATTAAGGTAAGAGTTAGTTTAATTAATTATTAATAAAATAGTTGAATGAAACATAAAAAACATAAAATGTTTAAATAAAACAATAAAATAAACATAAAATTTCAAAAATTTTAACTTTTGAACTCGGAAAATCGCAAAGGTCAAAATAAAAAATTTTCCGTACTTTTTAGAGGAAAAACACAATTCGTTATTTAAAAAAAAAAAAACATAATAAACATAACAAACATGAAAAAACATGAAAAACATGAAATAACATATCGGAAAATATAAATAAACATTATAAAAAAAAAAAAAAATTTTTAAACATAAAACAAATCCGCCATTATTATTAAATTTTTTTTTTGATGGGGTCTCTGAACTTTTTGTGGGAGTACCGATATTTTTTTTTTAATAATATTACTCGTAATATACAATCGAAATTTTTGAAAAAACAAACAAACAAACGAACGAACAAACGATAATTCTTTTAATTTTATTACGTAATTTTTTTTTTTTATTAAAACGAAACGACAGACAGGAAATTAATCGGATAGAAATTTTTTTTTGTTTAAACGTCACGTTTTTTTTTTTTCTTCTGCTTTCGTCTTTCTGAACTTTTTATTTTAATAATAATAATAATAATAATGATAATAATAATAATAATAATAATAATAATAATAATAATAATAATAATAATAATAATAATAATAATAATAATAATAAATGTTTTTTTTTATTCCAAAAAAACAAGAGGAATGAATCGTCACGATTTTTTTATTTTAAAGAAAATTGATGACGTATTAGTACGGTTTCCTTTTAAACGTCGCCATTTTTGTTTTTATTTTAAATTAAAAATTTTATTTTCCTTTCACTTATTATTATTATTATTATTATCGAAATAAAAAAAAAATTTGGCCGATGTGTTTTCTTGTAAAAAAGGGGCCATTAATTACTAGATAGAAAAAAAATTTTTTTTTAATTTTAACGTTCGCCATTTTGTTATATCGAAAAAAAATTTTTTTTTTTCAGGAATGATGGAAACATTATTATCAAAAAATAAATAAATAAACTTGACCTTTTAGAAAAATAAATTTTTTTTTTTTATCTCTTGATATCCTCGAAAATATTTTCTTCCGTATTTTCTTAAAAAAAAAAAAAAAAATTATTTCGGTCAGTTATATTATTATTATTATTTTCTCTTTCCAGTGCGAAATAATACAAAAATTCCAGTTTTTTTTTTAATACTCGATCTCGTTTTGAAATTATTAAAATAATTTTACTTACAAATGTTAAACGTGAATTTAAAAAATTTATTTGAACCATTTAAATTCCTCACGTTTATTGGACTTTTTATAAACTTACGACACACACACACACACACGTACACGCACACGCACGTTTAACTTATGACCATGATTTAATTGTCCAGTTTTTCATTTCTTCATCTTCTCCAGTTTAATATTAATCTTACGTATGATAAAAAAAAAATTTTTTTGTTAATAACCCGACATTTATTTACCCGAAGTGTGCTCAATAAGCAACAACCTTAAGCTAATTATTTACTTACTTACTTACGAGAATCAATTAAACAAACAAACAAACATTTTAAGTACCTGGATCATGCTGGAACATTGGATTTTTTTTTTTAAGTTTAGTGAAGAGAGAGAAAGAGAGAACTTTTTTAATTTTTTTTTTTTTGTCAAGAGTTTATTTAATTCTTTACACGTTTAAATAAATTACGATTATTATCGTTATTATTATGATTACGATGATGATAATGATGATTATGATTATGATAATGATGGATCAGTGAATAAAAAAAATTTAAAAAAAAAAAAAAACGGTGCGACGGTTGATTGTTTCCTGGAAAAATAATATTCGAAAAAAAAATCAACGGTGAAAAATTTATTATTATTATTATTATTATTATTATTAGGTCGGTGGAGAGTAAGTAATATTTGAGTTTAAAGTTTTTATACGGGGGGGGGGGTTAAAGTTTTAAAAAAAATCATAATAATAACGTTGAAATGTGTGTGCGTGTGTGTGAAAAGATGGTCAACAATCACTCGAATGTTTTTTATTATTATTATTATTGTTATTCTCCAGAACGTCAACGACTCCACATTTTAATTCAGGTATATAACGTATTAATATTATTATTATTAACGTGTTAATACGATAACACTCACCGGTTAAAAAAAAAAATTCTACGGTAAGGTATTTTTTTATGTTTTTTTTTTTTTTGTTTCCAAAAAAAACAATAATGATAATAATTTTTAGTTATCGATTTATTGTACCTAATGTACCTACTAAATAAATCGATATTCGATTGATTGATTTTATTGTTGTTGTTGCAACCTGAAGTAAGTAAAAATAAATAAACCTATTTTATGAATTTAGAAAGTATGTTAAATTCCTTTTGTTTTTTTTTTTTTTTAATTAAGCAATTAAAAAACCGCAAATTTTATTTAATGAGGTAAATAGTTAATTTCCTATAAACTATTATTATTATTATTATTATTATTATTATTATTATTAGTTTATTTTTTGTATTTTTTGAATGTTTTTGACTGTTTCCACTATTCCGACAATTTTTTTTTTTTTTTTTTTGAAAAAACAAACGACAAATACAAAATCCTACGGATACGTTTGTTTGTAGTTTGAATTCGTTTTTAAAATTAATTAATAACATTTATTTAGAATAAATTAATAAGTTTTTATTTTTTCAGGGCCGTAACCCCTTTTTTATATAAGCAAAGCAAAAAAATAAAAAATAAAAAAACTATTAAATCTGGGTCAGACCGTAATAATTAGTTACGAAAAAATTTTTTTTTTTTTAATAAAACGTTTTCAATCTTTTTTTTTTTTTTTTCAAAAGGTCATAACTATAATATTATTATTATTATTTTCTTCCGGAGGCAAATATTTATATAGTAATTATATATACGAAGGTATTAGATTTTAAATTTGGCGCCAAAAATTTAACATTTTTTTTTGTTTTTTTTCAACATCTTTAAATATTTCAAAACTTTTTTTAAAATTGTTATTAACGATTCGAAATTTATTTATTTATTTCCTTTACTTATTTAAAATTTTATTAATATTAATAATAATAATAATAATAATAATAATAATAATAATAATAATAATAACGTTTCAACGTCTTCATAATTAATTTAGTTTAAAAAAAAAAAAGAGTAAAAACCTTTCGATTAATTTTCCATTTGATTTGTACTATTAAAAATCTATTAAGTATTTTTCACACTTCCGGTAAAATTAATTTCAATAATAATAATAATAATAATAATAAAAACGTAAGTAAAAAAAAATTTATTAATCCGATTAATTTTTTTTTTTTTTTAAATTTCAGATCATGGAATTGTTTTAGAAAAAGATATAATAATAATAATAATAATAATACTACCGAAGTGGAAATTGAATTAACTGAAAACTAACTAGGGGCTTAGAAGACCAGTGGTTTCCTTTTTGTTTTGTTTTTAAATTAAAAATTATCTACTGGCCTGTTTAAGTCCCAAGTTATTTTTGTTCAGATTGTTCAGACACCATCAGAAAACAGTGAGGGAATCCAAAAAAAATGCTTGCATTCGGTTTAGTGGGGTTTCCAAGACGCATTTAGCATTTTTTAAAAATATTTATTTGCAATGCCCTTAGAAATCCCAAATAACCGAATGATAAAAACATCCAGACTGATATCATCAATCAATCAATCAATCAATCAATTGAAGTTCTGAACAAAATTAAAGTTCGATATTTTTTCGATATCGATATATCGAAATCGATTTTTTTTCTATATTTCAATTTTAACAATAATAATTTAACTATGTCAAATTTTTGTTTGTTTGTTTGTTTGTTCACACTTAAAACAAATTATTTTTAAATAATTTAATTTATTTTTCCCTATTTTTTTAAAAATAATTTTCTTAATAATTACAATAAATAATTGATAATAATAATAATAATAATAATTCATACAAATAATAATATTTATATAAATAAATAAAAATCTAACAAGTAAAAAAAAAAAATTACAAAATTTTATTCATTTATTTATTTTATTTTATTTTCCTGAACCTGAAATCGAGTATTTTTATTTATTTAATTATTAATTTAAATAAAAATAAATTAACGAAATAAAAAAATAATAATTGAAAAAAAAAAAAACAACCCGCGACATAAGTCAAAAAATCAAAAGAACGTTATGAAAAAATAATAATAATAAACATAATAAACAAACAATTATAATAATAATAATCAATACTGAATAATAAATCGATGTATTAATTAATAAAATATTATTCATTTTCCAACAGGAAATTTTAAAAATTAATAAAAATAACTTGATGAATTTTGATTTTTATGAAATAAATTAAATAAAAAAAGAGTAAACATAAACTGGAGACATTATTAAATATAACAAATTGTTTCATTAAAACAATTTTGAAATTATTACTACTAATTTTAAACGAAAAAAATTTCTTTTTTAAAAAATTATTTAAACGAGAACAATTAAAATAATTTTAATATTTTAAAAAAATAATAATAATAACATTAAAAAACCTTTGACAGGTGATTTATAATAATTCAAGCATGATTTTAAAAAAAAAATAATAATAATAATTAAAATGATTTGTCAAAGAGTATCAATGTTTTTGTTTTGTTCTCTCGAGTGATTTAAATTAATCGTTATTAAAATTAATTTTCACTTCAATGAAAATACAATTATATATATAGGAAGTCTAATTAATAACAAAGAGTACATGTAAAATTAAATCGTGTACTTTGAATATTTTTTTTTTTTTTCTTTTCCCATTGAAAAAACTTATCATATTTTAAAAATTTAATTACGGACCACTAACATTTATAAATATAAATTATACATTAAAAGGATTTTAATCTTATTATAAATAATGAAGCGATAATATTTCATTAAAAAAAAAAAGAAACTTAAAATTGAATTTAAATTAAATTTGTGTGTCGAATAGTTTTCTAACGTTTAAAAAAAAAAAAAAAAAAAAAATTGTATAAATGAAGAATTATATTTATGTATTTAGCGATATACATCATAATCGTATGTAAAATTGGGTTTGAAAAGATTTGATTTTTTTCCTTACAATATAGTCTTTGAAGTGCAATTAAGTTATAATTAAGCTTCATCGAGGTCATATATCATCCACTTCGTTATCTTCCCCCTCATCACTGACTTCATCACCAAATTCGATATCTTCATCAAATCCTTCTTCGACGAACGTAACTGTGTCGTTTATACGTACAGTCTCTGGGAATTCCCCGTATGTTTTTAAATTCCTTGCTTCGTCCGGAGTGTACTTTAATATGACATCGGCTTTTGCATCTTGGTAATCTCTCAAACCTATTAATATGATGTCTCCTTGATTGATCCATACCTTCTTTCTCAGCTTACCACGTATGTGGCAAAGACGTTTAGTACCATCGAAACACATGGCTTCCAAACGTCCGTTACCCAACATTTTGGTGACTTGGGCATACTCTTGACCATCCTCTTTGAAAACCAATTCTCTTTTTTCCGTTTCGTTTTCGTTCTTTCCTCTACGCCTGTTCTTACCTCCTTTTCCCTTATTCTTCGGCATGTTTTTTTAAATAAATGTTACGCAAATAAATATTAATTAATTCTAAAATTTAAACAAATTTAAAAAAAATAATTAAATTTAATTTAAATTTTAAAAATTAAACAAATAAATAAAAACAAAAATAATTTCTTACATTATTAATTTATTAATAAAAACGTACTATTTTGTTTCTCTAAAAAGTAAAATTCTCTCTTTACGCCATTATAAAATATGTATACCTATCATGAACGTACATGATCAATACTTTAGGGACTTAATTTTTTTTAAGTTGGCAAAACTGCATGAAAATATTTAGCGGGAAGACAACACAATTGTTATCTTAAAAATTATTTTTTATTTATACCAACTTATATTTCCGTTAATTTTTTCTTGTTTTTTTTTTTTCAATGTAATGAATATTTTTAATTTTATAACAACTTCATGTTTTATACTCATAAAATTACTACTTAAATATAAAAATAAATAAACAAAACTAGCAGAACCATTTTGTTTTTGTTTTTTTTCCAATTGATTTTAAAAATAAATAGGATCGGCATTAATGGAACATAAATTGAGTACAATCTACATTCTAACAAGACAAAATAGCAGTGCAAAATTTATTTAAAAAAAAAAAAAAAGAAAAGAAAAACACCCAAAAATTTTATCATGTATAAAAAAAAGTATCTTTTATATCAAGTGAATAAACTAATAAACCAAACATATTTATTTAATTATTAATGTAATAAAACATTATTTATTATTACTGATATTATGCAAGAATTGCACAATTCTAAACAATCCAAAATTTTTTTGTTTTTATTACCATTTTCATCCAATTTTTCCCCCAACATTTAAATGAAAATTCCTCTTATATCAAGATTTTAAAATCTTAATAATATAAATAGTATAAACCCACAAAAAAATTTAATAATTACTTTAAGTAGTTTAGTTTCAACTTTACAAATATTCATAAAATAAAATAAATCTTATCGGCATGTTTATAAATTAATTCCTTTAAATAATCGATTAATGTGGACATTTTCTCTTGTAAATTTTTTTGCTTTCCTTTGCGACAAAATCAAAATTTCACATGAGAGTTTTTTTTTTTTTTTTTTTTTTTTTTTTGAAAAAAACAATTTTTTTCCCCAAACAATTCATTACTATTTAAGGCAAACCAAAATTACATATATAAATATTATTTTTTTAAATTAATTTCACTATATTATGGAATTCCTTGGTATAAATTATAAATAAATTTATTCATGTTGTCCATTGCAAATATTTTCTTCTCTGTGCAAATAAAAATTCCACAAATTTCCTTTTCAAAATTTTAATTACAAGATTTTTTTTTTTTCTTTTTTTTTCTCATTACCTTGGCAAATTGCAAATTTCACACATAAAAGAATTACTTGGATTCATGAAAGTGCAATGTGTGCATGTCCATGATGTAGTATGTGGAGCATTGTTGGGAATATCCATGAATGGACCCATAGAATGTGGAACTGATCTTGCATTGGAAGTTCCAGAACTGGCTGCCATTACTTGTTCAACTGTCGCCCACTGATCAGATTGAGACCATTCGATAGCTTTTTGAGAGTCCTGCTCTCTAACAGCTTGCAACAAAGGAATCATGTATTCCTGTTAAGAAAAAAAAATGTTTATGTTTTATCATAAATTGTATAATCAACATTGATCATTTTAAAAAAATAATTCGTCATTTCGTCATATTTCACAATTGTGACACCAAACATTAATAGTCGAATTCCGATCCAGAATACATAAATTTCAGTAAAAATCGCTCAACCATTATATAAAAATAATGACAATTATCATAAAAATTACCCTTAAAGGAAGAACATCCATAGTTGCTATATAAAGTAGCAAGTGAAAATCAGAAACAGCCTTCAAAAATTGATCAGGAGAAAACTGTGACATGTAATTACTGAGAGCTGCAAAATCCTGAGTGTGCCCATAAATTAAACGATTTTCAACTGGAAAAGATCTAATTGAAGTGTCAGCAGTAAATGTAAACTGTGGAGTAAGGGGAGTGGATGCTGGAACATCGACAGAAGATATTCAACTGGTAATGGACGAGCCAAACGTGGAACTT